CTTTTTCCGCCCGGAGTCATCAGTCCGAGGCCGATGCGGCCGAGGCCCGGAATGCCAACGATGCTGCAGTCGTTGCAGGCGCCGGCGCACAGTGGGCCAGAAGCCGGTGGAGGCGGCCAAAACTCAGGACGCGTTTTGAGCTCCAGAGTCGCGAAGCAGGCCTCGAACCGAACGTGTGACTCCAGCAATGGATCGCTCGTTCGGAGAGCAATCCATTGGTGGGGTCACACGTTCGGTTCGAGTCCCATTTAGCGACTCTGGAGCTCAAAACGCGTCTTGAGTTTTGGCCGCCTCTACCGGCTTCTGGCCCACTGTGCGTGCCGAGGCGTGCAGGCACGGCGCGCAGTCTCGACGACCGCAGCAGCAGCAGACTGATTCCGGGAGTCTCGTTCTGTCTCTCTCGCACTCATGGGGCGTCCCGAATGGGTGCGAGAGAGACAGAGCGACTCTCGGAATCAGTCTGCGGCGCGGCGACGAAGCGGAACTTGACTCGCCCCGCGAGAAAACGCGCTCCGGCCGTGTAATGTCTGTAATGCCGTTCCCAGTGGAGTAGTTGGTGTTGCACTGGCCGTTAGCCGTTAGCGGGCGGCCCGCTGGTGCTTTTTGTGGCTCGCCTCGGGCTCGCCGAGTTGCAGCAGCAGGCATTATCAGCTTTTTGTTTTCAACAGCCTTGTTCCGTTGTCGGGGCGGGTGGTATGCGCTGCTCGTAGGCCGGTCGTGCTGGTTGTCCTGTTCCGCGGCGTTGGCGTGCCGAGCGGCGCTTAGGGGCCCGGGGACGCGTCCGGACGGCCACGGGACGGGGCCTGGGGGGCAGATACAAGGCAGGGTGGCCATCACGGCTATCTGTCCGGCACACTGACATACAGCGCCTGTCGCAACCCTTTTCCCCGGACTCTCCCTCTTCCCCGCCGCCGCCGAGAAGGCCCTGCCGCTGATCCCGGCGTCAAGATGCGCCGCGCGGCGAGGCGGCAAGGCGGCCCGAGAATAAATCTGGAATTGCATATCGCGACACACGCCAGCCGCACGTCCGCGGCAGACGGAAGGCGTCGCGGCGCCTCGCGGGGGGCGCCGCCATGGCGTCGCCAGGGCGTGGCCAAGGCGTCGCAGCGCCGCAGCGCAGCGTCACACGTCGCGCCAGAGATATGGGTGTCGTGCGTCACGGGGAGAGGAGAGGAGGGAAGGGTGTTCCAGGCAACCCGCAGCGCAGCGCGAGCACCGTCTGGGGCCGTATCTCCGCACCGCCACCAACGCGGCGCCGTGGCGGCATCTGGCCCCTCGGAGACGTTCACTATGCTCACTGTTTGCGGGAAGGCTGAGTCTCTCTCACTCTCCGCTTACTCTCTCTCGCGTGTGAATTAAAGCCGCGGCACGGTCTTCATTCCTGGAGCAGCGCGTTTGGAATCTCAAGGGGGGCGGCGTAAAGGCCCAAAGGCCTCAAGGCGGGCGGCCTTAATCGCCTAGTGTTTAGCGAGGCGTTTCACTGCCGCGAGGCGGCCTGCTCGGCGGCCTGCTTGGCGGCGGCGGGGATCTTTGACGTCGTGATTTATGTTCCAGTGGCATCCATTATGCAGGCAGCCCCCTTTCCCCCCCCCCCCCCCGTTTCTGCGAAGCCAAAGGCGCCGGCGCCGGCAAAAACGGCCAACGGGGGGCCCGGCCAGTGAGTCGCAGTGAGCGGGCCGAGGCCGAGGCAGTGGTCAACCCTGCCCTGCCCTGCCCGGCTGCGCTGCCTGACTGTTCGGCGCCGAGCATCCACAGAGCCGTATCTCAGCGCGGACGTCCCCGTCAAAGGCAAGGCCGGAGGCCGCCAGTCCTCGCCCGGCGGCCAGCTGCGCCGTTTTGTGGCGGGGCCTCGGAGGCATCCCGTCGGCGGCCCAGAAGCACCGGTGGAGGTGGCCAAAATCCCGGACGCGTTTTGAGCTCAGAGTCGCTGATAATCGAACCGAAGGGGTGACTCCACCAATGGATTGCACTCCGAACGAGAAACCCTTCGGTGGGGTCACACGCTCGGTTCGAGTCCTCTACTTTGGAGCTCAAAACGCGCCTTGAGTTTGGCCGCCGGCGCCGGTCTTCTGGCCCACTGTGCAGGGCCCCGCGGGGCACGGGGTTTGCATAGGCCAGCCTTATTACCCCACCGCCCCCTCCCTCCCCTCCCCGGGGTCGCTGGGTCCGCCAGGTCCGCCAGGTCCGCAGCGTGCCGTCGGCCTTGCCAGTAATGATCCGGCCGGGGTTTATGTCTGGACGTGGCGGCGTGGCGGCGTGGCGTGGCGCGGCGTGGCGTGGCGCGGCGTGGCGTGGCGCGGGGGGATGATTAGGCCCCATTACTGCTCTCAGCAAGATTCAATGGGCTCCTTGCGCCTCATCAGGCACGGCCAAGGCACGGCCTCGGACCGCCGCGGCAAAAACACGCCCAATGTGAGTGGTGCGTGCGTGCGCAATCCCGATGGCGGAAGTTTGCGGCGGGCGGTGCGGATCTGCCCGTAGAACGTTGTGCGGCTTGGCGGCCTGGCGGCGGGGCGCTATAAAGTGCCGGTTAATGCCGTGTGCGTGTGTGTGTGAGTGTGTGTGCGGGGATGGCGAACGAGGCCGTCGTCTTCTTGCCACTCTGACGAGGCGGGCCGGGGTCCACCGCAGGGACGACGCCCCGCGCAGCGCGCAGCCCGGCGCAGCCCCCCTGGTGAATAAGTGAGGGGGTCTGTGTACGGGCCTGGGTGGGGTGGGGCTGCCCCGTGGTGCGAGCTGCTCAGCCCATCTCGCGCTCTTCGCGGCCCTGACGCCCGCCGCCTATGAAAGGAGTCTGGCGTGTTGTCTGAGCGGTGGCCAGGCGGGGCGGGGCGGCGGGGCGGGGCGGGGTGGGCTGCCCAGGGGAAATTATATGGCGTCGTTTAAACTTGTCCCGCCGCCGTCGCCCCGCCGCCGCGACGCCGCCTGTCCGCCACGTGTTTCCTTCCGCGCGCGGCCCCACACTGCAAGGCCTGCAGTCCAGTGCGCCCACCGCCAATTTACAATTTTCTCTTAGTTTCGCGCCGCTCCTCGTCGGGGGTTTGAAAACGAGTGTTCACTTAGTCTCTCCCTCCGCCCCCTCTCTCTCCTCTCTCTCTCTCTCTCTCTCTCTCACTCTCTCTCTCTCTCTCTCTCTCTCTCTCTCTCTCTCTCTCCTCGGCACGACGCCGATGTGTAATCTAGATTGGCCGCGTCCCGCGCTCGTTGCACGCGACGCACGCACTCCCACGCGCCAACAAAAACATTAGCGGTTTGGTTGCTTAGCCCGTTCGAGCGGGGCTAAATGACGACGGGGGGAGAAGGGAGGGGCGCCCGCCTCACGGAAAAACACAAGTTTGCGTGCGAATTAATGCGACACGGTTCGACGAGCTTTCGCCATGTAATCGGCCGTGGGGAGCGGGAAGCGGCGGCGATGCCGGGGTGGCACAGTGGGCCAGAAGACCGGTGGAGGCGGCCAAAACTCTAGACGCGTTTTGAGCTCCAGAGTCGCTAAATGGGACTCGAACCGAACGTGTGACCCCACCAATGGATTGCTCTTCGAACGAGGAATCCATTGGTGGGGTCACACGTTCGGTTCGAGTCCCATTTAGCGACTCTGGAGCTCAAAACGCGTCTAGAGTTTTGGCCGCCTCCACCGGCTTCTGGCCCACTGTGGCGTGGCATCGACGAGCTCGTTACGGCCTACCCTCCAGCGGGCTCATTCCGAGAGTCGTTCTCCTCGCCGCGTCTCTCTCGCACCTTTGCGGAGCGCCCCACGAGTGCGAGAGAGACAGAGCGAAGACGAAACCCTTCGGCGGGACCGCCAGGGCCGCCAGGACCAGGAACAGGAGCCCGCTCAAGCGGCGCGCCTTCTTCCGCCCTTCCTCGTGTTACCTGCTTCGCCAAGTGAAGGGCTTACGGCCACCGGAGCGCTCCGTGGGGCCTTCTTATTTGGCCTCCGTTTTCCATTAATTCGCGAAAAAAAAACAAAGCAGCGACAGTGGATCTCCTTAGGGACGCGAACGACGTTTTGCCAGGGCACGCCAGGGCGACCTGCGCCGCGCCCGTGACATCGAGTTTACAATGGTGATCCATTTATTCGGATTAGCGCGAAAATGATTGCGTTCTTCGCTGTACGCGGTAACCCTTTTAACCGCCGGCAGCAAGTTTGCAGCCTTAAGTGAAAGTACCCAGGGGGGGGGCGTCGCCGGCCGGCAGGGCTTTTAGCCAAACTGGAGTTGATGAACCGCCCCGCTCCGCCGCCCCTCGTTTGGCCCGCGATCATCCCCGGCCCGGCCTGCAGACTGATTCCGAGAGTCGTTTTCGTCGCTCTGCCTCTCTCGCACTCATGGGCCGTGCCGTGTGGGTGCGAGAGAGACGGAGCGACGAAAACGACTCTCGGAATCAGTCTGCAGGCGAGGCGGCGGGGCTGCGAGGCTCATGGCAGTCATTACGCGGCCAACTTTTGTCGGGACTCTCAAAGTGTTCCAGCGGCGCGTCGGCGCGGGGCTGACGAGAAGCCGCCGCTAATCCATCACCGGCCCCACAATGCGTGCGAGAGAGAGGCCCGAAAACAGGTGCTGCGAGGCGCGGACCGGCGTGCGTGGCGGTGACCCCGTCGATACGATACCCCGCGCGGGGTCGCCAGAAAGTGGCCTTCGCGCGCGGAGTAGCCCCAGAGTTCTCCCGCCTGCGACGCCGTTGACCGGAGGAAAAGGGGGAAAGTCTTCTGCTGTGGAAAGCGCGAAAGACTCGGGGGGCGCGCGTCGCTCTGGGGAGTCATCAGGGGCAGAATTTAATTAATGCCCGCTGCTTTTGGGGCGGGGCGGGGCGGGGCGGGGCCCTCTGGGGGAGCCGGCGCGGCGCGCGGGGTCGCGTGGGGCGCATCGGCGGAGAGGTTAAGCATTCGTTGGAAGGCCGAAAAAGAAAGCCCAGGGAAATTGGTGCCGATGTATTTGTCGAACACGCGCGGCGGATTGGTCCTTGTGTTTCATGTGCCGTGTTTTTTCGTGTGTCAGCAGGTGCTGTACCAGTTCCGACTCGAGCGCGGCGACAAGGAGGCCATGGACCCCCCGACGCTGGACATCCCGCCGCGGGGCCGCGTGCCGGACTTCCTGGAGACGTTCCAGGTGCACCTGCCGTGCACGGGCCGCAAGGCCGCCGAGGTGGACGTGCTCATCCAGCTCAACGTCACGTCGCCCAACCGCAAGATCAACGACACCGTGCTCAACTTCATGCGCAAGAAGATCTGCCTGTTCGGTGAGTGACGTCTCGCGTCCGTCGCTGATGATGATGTATGAAAAACCGCGGCGTTTATCCTCGCAATGGATCGCGGCAAAAGAACGACTCCTTTTTCTCGCGGCGTCCATTCCGATCCATTCCGGCGCGGCGGAACAGAAATGATGGATCGGATCGGAGGCCGCGCGGCGAACTGAGGTGACTCTGCGCGCCGCGCCTCGCAGCGCCACCGGGGCGGCCGCCGCCATGCAGTGGCCGTGACTCAACGGAAAGTCTTCCTCGCAGTCTGCATCACGCTATCCTTGTGCTTCCAGACGACCGGCCGCGCAGGCCGCACCCCAACGAGATCGGCCACCAGTCGCTGGGCGCTGCGGGCGGCGGCGCTGCCGGTTCCGTTGGCGCAGCGGTGCCGGGGGCGGCGGGCGGCGCGGGCGGCGGCGACGGCTGGCGGCCCGTCCTGCTCGAGGCCACGGAGGGCCTCTACGCCACGGGCGGCATCGCCGGCGCGCTCTTCGTGCTGTCCTCCTTCCTCATGGTGCTCGTGTGGAAGCGCAGGGACACCTCCAAGATGCGGCCGCAGGAGTGCCAATAGTGAGTGCTGCCGCTGGCGGTGACAGTGTAGGTGCAGCTCTGCTTTGGCCGACAGTGTCCTAACGCAGTGTCCTTTGCAGCACGAGCTACGCCAGCGCGTACGGGTCCCCGCCGAGCGTGCTGGTGAGCAAGCCGCCGCTGCCGGGCTCGGGCCGCGGCCCCTTCATCGGCGCCGTGGGCTCGGACAGCGACTGCGGCTCGTACGCCACCATCGCCTCCTTCCACAAGGTGGGCCTGGGCTCGGCGCTCGGCCTCGGCTCCGTGCTGGGCTCGGCGCTGGGCGGGTCCGCCTTGGGCGGGTCTGCGCTGGGCGGGTCTGCGCTGGGTGGCTCCGCGTCGCGCGGCCTCGGCGCGTCCAGCCTGGCCAGCGGCTCCCTCACCAAGAGCGCCCTGGGGCTCAGCCTCGGCCAGCCGGCCTCGTCCAGGGCCGCCTCGCCCTACGCCACCTCCGTGGTGGCCACCAGCGGCGGCGGCTCCGGCCCCGTCGTCACCAGGCTGTACTCGCCCTCGCCGCCCACGCCGCAGACCGAGAGCGCCTACTCGTCCTACTCCTCGTACTGCCCGCGCAGGGTGGCCTACTACGCCGCCTCCAGCGTCAACTCCTTCGGAAAGCCAGCGGTGAGTAGCGCAGCGTTTGAAAACTCCAAAAACCAAAAACTTGGCCTTGCGGGATTTGAACCCGCGGCAGTGCGTACTTAATCCTCGCGGTGGTGACGGCCTGGCGGAGCGAAGGGCGAATCTGCTCATCGCGGTTTAGCCGCGCCCCGCCGCGCCAACACGTTTTATCCGGCGGCGTATCGCTCCGCCCTCGGCACCGCGCCGCCACCGCCACGCGGCCAGAACCATCATTAGCGGCGCCCACGGAAATGGGTGATGACAGCGGCGCACGCCCGCCGTGATCTGTGTCCGGGGGCGGGGTGGGGGAGGGGCTCGTAAAGGTATACGTGAGTGATTCGCTGCCACCCGGATTTAGCACCCCGGGGGGAGGGGGGAGGGTATAAGCCGCGCCACGCTGCGGGGTTACAACCCAACCCCGGCCCGGCCGCACCACCGAGCCAGCGCGGAGCCGAGGCCTACGCTGCCATAGCAGGTTGCGAGAGAGGGCACTTTGCTCGAGTTTATGGGATAACTCGGAAATATAGGTTGCTGCTGTTGCTGCGGCTGGCGCGGTGCTACAGACCGCGGCCAGTGATTTAGCACCGCATCACGGCAGCGCGGCGCGGCGCGGGGAGGGAGGGAGAGGGAGCGCATCATGCCGCCGTCAGGCTCATTGAAAGCCAATAAGAGAGACGGAGAGCGCGCGCCGCGCTGACACGGACATGACGATGATGATGATAAGCGGAGTCCATGAATCACACGGCGTGGAGGTGGAGCAGGCCGAGCAGGCCGTGAGGTGGGTTACGGGTGCAGCGCAGCCCCCCGGGGGGAGAGGGAGGGGGCAGAGGCCGGGGCGGAAGGGTTAAGCCGGGGCCGCTGCGTGCACGCCCAGCAGGCAGCAGGCCCAGCCAGGCGGCCCGTCAAATCGGAGCGCCATTACGTCAGTTTAATTTGATTCATGGAGCGTGCTGCTGCCGAGGCCGACGGGGCCGTCGAGGCCGCCGAGGCCACCGTAAACCGGCGACACTGCCGAGGCGCGGCGCGCAGGGTGGCCGTCGAGGCCGCTGAGGCCGAAACGCCCTGACAGTGCCACCGCATTGGACGAGTTTGGGCGCCGCGATGGAGCGCGCGGGCTTGGCCGTGCTTTGCTGTGCGTTCCCACATTTTCCGCCCCGTGCTCTGAGCCGATCCGGTGTGCGGCCGTGCGGCCGGTCGTCGGGATGGAGCACCCCAAGCGGACAAGCTGGCCAGGCAGGCGGCCAGGCGGGCGGGCAGCCGGACCCAAGTAGATGAGCCCAGAGAAAGGGGATCCCGGACAAAGGGGGGACGTCCGGTACCGCAGGCCGGCCGGGCCGGCACGGCGGGGACGTCGTTCATCGGGGCAGTGTGGCCCGCCGCAGGGCTGCAGCTGATAGCTCTGCGGGGCGCTGCCGCACGGCGCTGGCCACGCCGGGCATCTCGTTGGCCTGCAAGCAATCCTAATTTACGAGGCTCCTCGGTGCTCCTCGGCCGGCCGATGAAAGCCTCGATACCGGTCGATATAGCTTAATGTGTGCGGTCTGCCCGGCCTGCCCCACCGGTCCGGGGTATGCGCTATGCGCTGCGGCCCACGCCCAGATCCGATGTGTGCGCGCACACTAGGGATGCTAAATTACCGGTAAAATTCAACGTTACGTAAAAAACGGTAATTTACCGTAATTTACCGTAAAATTGGTAATTTTCGGTAAAATTCGAGTTTTTGGCTGATTTATCAAATATTCATGTTTTCCTATGTATTTTAAAATGTAAAAAGGGGTTATTTTTATTGATATGACAGTAAATCGACAAAATTTACAAATCAGCAGATAGGGTCAATATTTATTAACTGATCAACCAATTTGAATTTTACAAGAAACCCACTGAGATTCCAAACGCTATGAGTATAGCACGTATGGTGCAATGCACTGAGATATCGCACCATACGTGCAATGCCATAGCCATATGCATGGGAATGGGAAGGCAATGCAAAAGCATTGCACAAATTGACGCTATACTTAAAGCGTTTGGATTGTCAGTGCCGTCGTACACAAAGATCGACGAGCAAAGCAGCGGTGTATTCCCCTTCAGCAGGCACAGTCTTCTTGCTAGCTAGCCAAAGCTCCTATGTGGACTGTTTCACAAGGCCCTGGTGGTGAAGGGCGGTCAGTTTGAATCCGTTACGATGATAATATGTTACACTTTGCTTCTATTTGAGTCCCGAGTTCATTTAATTTACGAAAACAACTATATGGCCAAAAATTGAATTTTACCGTTAATTACCGGATTTTCGACGTCGCGGTAAATTACGGTAAATTACCGTTATTTACCGGTAATTACCGGTAATATTACCGTCCTTCGCATCCCTAGCGCACACATATCACTGCGGGGGAGGGGCCACTGTACTGTGCCAGCAAGGGTGCACCACCCCACACGGGGAGCGACACAACCTAAGGTTGTTTCCAACCCGCTGAGGCGCAGGTAGGCAACCCGGCAGAGGAACAGGACGGCGTGGAGGCCGCGGCGGCGCGCCGGCCGTGCTGTCGGTCCCTCGCGTGCCGAGGAGCATCAAATAATGCCTCCGCCAGGCCGCGCCAGGCCAGCCCTGCTGCCATCCTGCCGCGCCGCCACGCCACTCCGCCTCGCCGCAGAAATACGTTCCCCCTTAAAATATTACCATCCTTCACACTCGCGGCTCCCGGCCTTCCAGGGCCTTCCAGGTCGGCAATTAAAGAGATTGGGCCGCGGATAGGCCGCGCCGTACGAACGCTGCCCTTCGCCTTTTTAGGCGCCGGGAAATGCCTCAAGTAGGTCAGGCAGGCGTGCCTTGGCAGTGCGGTGGCACCACGTTGCGGAACACGGCGTAGCACGCGGAGACACGTGTAGGGCCGTGTGTCGCCCTGTCTCCCTCGCACCCCTACGCGACGCAGCGTGAGTGCGAGAGAGACAGGCTCTGGCTGCAGGTGCACGACGGCCAGGTGTGCAGCGGGCTGACATGGCGACACGCAAACGGCTACCGGTTTTACAGCGATATCTCACTCCGAGCCACAATGGCTGGCTGCAAGGGCCGCGCCAGCGCCACCACCCCGCCGCCTGGAAGTGCATTGCCTCGCATTTGCATCGCACAGGACGTGGAGCAGGGCGGGGGGCTGCAGGGGGCTGCAGGGGCGCCGCACGGCCAGGGTTCACCTCGCCGCGGCCAGAATCAAACCCTCGTTAACCTCGCCTGTACGAATCGTCAAACTACAAGGCAACTACCTGCACGGCCAAAAGTGCGGAGCGAGGGGGAGGGAGGGGGGACAGCGCAGGGTCCTGTCTAAACTAACCCCCCGTCGTTACAGAGTCGGACGGCAACACGCAGTCCCTGAGGGACATCTGGACCGAACACAAACTAGGGCAAGCGTTAGTTTGCGCAAGTTGCACGTGTGTGTGAGGGCGCGCGTGCGTGTGCGTTGTGTGTTGCGGCCGTCGGCATGTGGGTGTGGGGGTCGAGGAGGGCGAAGTGCGAAGGTGCAGCGTGCGAGGGGGTATGCGCTCTCTGAACCTGTGTACCGACTATTACGCTATTACGCTCTATTACGCCACAAATTCATCGGAATTTAGCTAAAAACGGCCTAAAACACACCAAAATTGATAAAATTTTGACAATTTCGGCTATTACGCGACTATTACGCGAATTATTACGCGTGCTATTACAGATAGAGTGTACCGACTATTACGCGAGTGCATACCCCCTCGGCAGCGTGCGGTGGTGTTATGGTGACGCGGTGGCGGCGGTCGTTGCATTGCCCGTGCTGCTGAGGATGAGAAGGTGGAGGTGGTGGGGTGGTTGCGGGCCGGTCACGCCCGTCCCTGTGGGGTGGGACCCTGCTGACGAGGCCCCCCGGGGGCCCGGCGGCCCGGCGGCCCGGTGGAGCGCTGGCAGGTACGCGCCCAGGTAAGGCCGGCCGGCCGGGCCGCCGCAACCAGCTGTCGGCCGTGAGGCAGTGCGGTGAGCGGGCCAGAAACATTATCGTGACGGGCGCGGCCACCGGGTCGACCAGCCCGCCGTTTGGTTCGGCCGTCCGGCCGCGGCACTGGACGAACTCGGCTAGATTGCGCGGCATTCTCGCCCAGGAAGGCGAGTGTGGCGGCCGGAGGGCGAGGCGGCGAAGCGCGGCGAAGCGAAGGGCGCCGGGTCGATGTTGGGTGATTATCACCGTAGGTTGTCACTCGCGTTCCCCGGGGAAGTGCTTCTTAACTAGACCACATAGGATGTTGAAATTTGTTTTGAGGTCGCCCCTTGGGGTCCTTTACCACCTTCAATCTTGAGTTTTGAGCTGCCACTTCTGAATCGGCCTTAATAATATCGAGAAGTGGTCAAAAAGTGAACTCCGTCCACTTCTCCCGCACCAAGTCGATTTCGAAAAGTGGTGTTTAACAACCTCCTGCGAGATGAAAGCAGACTTTCTTCTGACCAACATGAAAGAAAAAGTATGTGGGGTCACATCATCGGCCACGGTGACTTTCTGAAAGCAACAAGCGTGAAACAGCACGTCATCAAAATTGTTCCCCCAGTTTTCATGTGAACTCCGTCCACAGTGCTTATTTAGGCACCAAAATCGCTAAAATAGCTTTAATAACACGACCCGACTCGGGAATTGTGCATCTTTCAGTTCTCCATCCGCCACCACCAAAATCAGCTGGCTGGTGTTGCGCGAAGGGAGTCCAAGTGGAATTTAGTCTTCGATTCCGCTGCGTATGTTTTTTAAAACGAACTCCGTCCACCCCCTTTTCTCGAAAACCAATGTTCCAAAAGTGCCCCGATTTCTTCAAAAGTTAGGTTTTTGTGGCCCCTTTGATAAGCGCTTGGTCGGAAGAATCGTATCTCAGCCTAGCGACCAGTGCGTGGCGAGATACAGTGGTTGTAAACGGTACAAGAAATGAACTCCGTCCACCCCTTTTCAAACTGCATATTTCAGCATAAAAATCAGGTTGTCCCGTAACAAGATTGATCAGAATGAATT